TTTTTTTCTTGTAGTTTTCGATAAAAATTTTCTAGGTAATTAATAATTTAATTATAGCGATTAAATCGACTCTCTAAGAACAATTTTGTTTTTTCAATTCCCACAAAAATAGCTCAACAAAACCAAGAGCGTATTACAAGAAAAGCACAGACTTTATGGGGCGCTTGTCAGGCCTTGTATCGTTCCCTAAAGTCTGGATGTCCTGGCCTGCCGTGGCATCAACAGTTACGCCCCTTAAAAGCTGAGGTTACAGCAGTTCAAAAGGCTGCAGGTGAGCAAACATGTTAAAAAAAGTTTCAAAAGAAAAAATACATTGCATTTTTCATTCCAAGACCCTGAAGACGAGTTGGTCTGCGCAGTTCTGAACGGTATCCCAGAGGAAGCTACGAAGAGGGGCGTGTACTCAGAAGATGCTTTGCGAGAGAGGTTCTTAAAGGTGGAAAAAATGGCGCGACAACTGTCCCTTGTTCCAGAATCGGGTGCCAACTTGCCCCTGTATCTTCTTTCCTTTTTACAATCCATGCTTTTGGTTAACGCACCCAATCCAATACCTCAGGCCGAATTGGACGACGATCCAACCGATTTTAGTAAATTATGTACAAACGATATTCTACAACGAGCAAGGTAAGTGATATTTTATTAGCCTTTTTGGTATTTTACGAATCTGGTAGAAAAGACAAAAAAATGGGAATTTAAAGAGTGAATTCACGCATAGCTTTTAGTTCTGATCTCTTCATCTCTTCTGCTTTTCCTCAATTTTTAAGGCAATTAGGTGGTAAAAATAGAACTTTATCTCTTCTCAGTCTTGCTTTACTACTTCCAAACCTCTTCATTCCCCCTGATTACTTTCACTGCTATTGCTGCAGTGTAATTAGCTCTGAGCAGATTATATATAGCCTTTGTAGATGCATTCCCTTGGCAATCCTGTTTGCTTTATCAGTGTGTGCAATCCTTAGGGTTCATTCATCCTTTTTGTTATTAATTGGTCGGTTTATATACTCAGGTATTGGTTAGATAGAGGCGATTTCGCACAGGCGCTTAAGTACATGAATTTACTGAAAGGGGCTAGTCGTGGGGTGTCCAGGGAATGGATGAATGAGACCAGGATATTCTTGGAGACCCAGCAGGCCGCTACGACGTTAATGGCGCACGCGGTAGCCAGTGGACTGGCGGTCCTTTAAGTATAGCGTTTTGTGTCCGCGCGCGAGCGTTTTTTCATTATTATATAATTGATTATATATTTTTTTCCTTAATGTTATTAGTCAGTTTTTGATAGACTGCGCNTTATTAATAAATAATTAATCTTGTTGCAAGTCCATTTATGCAGGGCATTGTTAATTATTTAATATACTTGACAATTCCATTATCTTGCTGTTCATTATATATTTTAATACGCAGTTATCAGCAGATCAATACCCACCTTTTGTACTTAACTGAAGGTACAAACTCATGTTACATATTTTCGCAACCATACTGCCTAATTAATATCCATTGTTTCTTCATTATCGAATCGGTAGACTGTGGGCTATTGTTAATTTTCTCTTACGTAGATGAGTTTAAATACTTTATACTGGAAAAAAAAGTACGACAAATCTATTTCTCTCAATTTAACGTGTGAATCGCCTTAATAATCCAATTCTAGTTGATTTTGTGTATTTACCTGTACGTACATCGATTTTTTAAAGCCATCTCGTTAAAGTTCAGATAGGAGCTATATAAATTTTTCACTCTTAACGAATGAAATTCTGGTTGTTCTATTGATTGATAAAAATAAAAAATTGATCAGGTTGAAAATCACTGGTTGATTTTTCCAAGGGTTTTCTCCAGAGAAAACCGAATAATATCGATGAGAAAAATTATTTGTAGTTGTTTTTCTTAATTTTTAAATTTTCTTGACTTCTAACAAATACTTATTTTGCCTTACCATATAAAACAATACAAAATTAAATCAATCAATACTCAGTCCAATTAAATTATTCCTGAAACTAGAAAAATCTGCCTTAATTGGTGGATTAATTTTTTTACGATAATTATCGTATTTTTTGGGTAAATTAAAAGAATACTTTGTATACTTATCGTATTTACATTTAGTTTTATAATATCTGCTTTAAATCCTCAACTCTTTAAAAACCACGTTTTAGAGAGCGAAATAAATCATCAGTGATTATTTAAAAAAATAATTAAAACTGGGCTAGATTTTGATGAGCACGTTCAAATGCGAGGGAAATACATTCTTCCAGGAATATTTACTTTGTATTTTTACGTCGTTTTTATATAAAAAAATACTTATTAGTAGTAAAATATGTTATTAAAAACAATAAATTAATAGTTCT